AGTCATACAAGGTTTGGTTTAGGAATTAATTGGAAGCCAGAACTACATATATGTGACCCTAGACCACAAAACCAGTCTTAAGTCGCTGGGGTATATTTGTAGCAATAGCCAAAAATACATTGTATGGGTCAAAATGATAGGTTTTTCTATTATGCCAAAAATCATTAGGATATTAAGTAAAGATCATGTTCCATGAAGATATTTTGTAAATTTCGTACTGTAAATATATTAAAACTTCATTTTTGATTAGTAATATGTATCGTAAAGAACTTCATTTGGACAACTTTAAAGGCGATTTTCTCAGTATTTTGATTTTTTTGCACTCTCAGATTCCAGATTTTCAAATAGTTGTATCTCGGCCAAAGCCACATATTGTCCTATCCTAACAAACCATACATCAATGGAAAGCCTATTTATTCAGCTTTCAGATGATGTATAAATCTCAATTTCGAAAAATTGACCCTTATGACTTGTTTTGTGGTCCAGGGTCACATATTACAAAGTAGTGGACAATGAATATCACTGCATTAGAAAATAACTAGAAATGAGTTACAAATAAAGTCAAAAAAAGTGCCATTTGCAAACAAATGATGCTAGAGCTTTTCTCTGAACTGACTTTCACGAAGCTGAAATTAGTAATTTTTGCTTTAAAACAAGTGGCATTGAATTGATTTTATAGGATGGACACATCAAGTTCACTCAGGTAGCCTAGTTCATCACACAAACTATGAATGTAATGATTCACAACCACAAAGTTTCACAATTCTGTTTCACAATTCACAATTTTGTTCTTTAAAATAAACCCACCTTGGTTTGATATTTTGTAAACCTATACAATGATTTAATGATTCTAGTACATTTTTAAGTGTGGTTCAAGTTTCCAAATACTTTAGCAGCCACTGTATATTATGTTCAAGAAATAGTATAATTCAAATATTAAAAATCAGTCGTTCACTCATCCTTTGTCATTCCAAACCTGTACAAAAAGATAATTTGGGGTTGAAACAATACTGGATCCCACTGACTTTCATTTCTCTTTCAAATTTGATATTTTTATCTTCAGTCAGTCACACAGGTTTAGATCGACATGAGGGCGAGTAAATGATGGCAGAATGTTCATTTTTGGGTGAACTATCCCTTTAACGTTTTCATATTGTGATGTTGTATAATTAGAGTCCATGAGTGGCAGTAGAGTCTACTGTAGAGTGTTAATATTTGTATGATCCACAAATGATCCATACATCATCTTTCTCAGATATTGTGTGTGTGAGTGAGAGAGCAAGGGGGTGACTAATTCCAAATGCAGAACAGAAGAACATGAACTTGGGGGGTGTAAGACAGAGGGCTGAGTCTGTGAAAGAGAGTTAGAGGAGCAATGTTTCTTTGGTTTCCTTTCAGTTGTGGAACAGAGTGGATGGGGCCAGCGAAAGGGAGGGAGGCAGAGAAAATGAAGCAGGACGCTGGAAGGTTTCAGAAAATGTTCAGGAATTTCAGGAGCAGGTGGCGAGTGGTGACATGAAAGGAGGACGTGACAAATGCAACCGACGGGCACTTGAAAAAAAAAGGCCTCAAGTTGAATGGTGGCATAGTATCTCCCATTTTTGCCTTGGTGCCTCATACCCCCCACTCTTTCCTTTACACACACACACACACACACACAAACACAAACGAGCAAGCAAGCTCCAATCTCAGCATTGAGCTGCTCGCTTCCTCGCATGGTTCATGATGTGGATGATAAATGCGCAATTCCTATTCACAGCACAGACAAGAAAGGTTCAGCCACTTCACTCAGATGAAGGTGTTGGTGGGGGTAGCATGTGGCCATGAGGGAAACTAGCTGAGTTTTGGCTAGTGATCATAATATATACGCTAATATAACAATTCAATTCTGATGTAATGATCTCAACTGACAACATGAATCTTCATGGTCATATTTATGTAACATCCAACAAAGTCGTAGTCATAGACTACGACTTTCATAGGAATATGATCATTTGTGTTTTGAAAATGAATGACGTTTAAAAAAAGGCTTCATTATATCTGTCTGTTTCACCCTGAAATATTTATTGGTAATCAAAATAAATAGAAAAATAATGACACCTTATGTAAGTTTTGCAGCTTATCCTTGAAGCTCACAAGGACAAGAGGAGGGAACTACATCTCCATCGTCCAATTACATTACATAATGTTAATAATACCAATTACCATTGACACTTGTATTCACGTGTGTTAGGGCTTAAATTGATAGTTCACCCAAAAATAAAAATTCACTCAATCAGCCTCATGTCAGTCCAAACCTGTAGAAATGTCCTTTTTGGTGGAACATACATTCTTTTCCTTTTTATTTTCTTATCTCTTTTTTTTCTCTTTTGTGTTCTGCAGAAGAAAGAAAGACTTGAGTGAAGTAAATGATGACATTTTTTTATTTATTTTTGAATGATCTATCCCTACACTTCATGTACCAATGTTATCTTAGATAAATCAAACCATGACATTTATTGTAAAGAAAGACAGCACAAGTACATTTTTCAAGCAAATAATTTCACAAAAAGAAATGTGTTAGGTTTCATATGATATGCTGTATATAGGCTGTTTGAAAATCGCATACTGCTCTACTATATAGTAACAGTAAATGAACGCAGAACTATGTCTGAATTCATAGTATTCATAAAGCAGTAGGCCAACATTTCACGGATGACCTACTGTTTCTGGCAAGATTCTAAAGTGCGCACCCAATGGACATTTACTATCCTGTCAGGCCACGAAAGAGGATTTGTGAATGACAGTAAGGTGATGCAACTGACCCTGGTATGTCACATTACAATGACAATATGATAAATGTTGTACATCTGGATTACATTCATACTACACACACATTACTATACAGAACCATGTTCTCAACTCTGGATCCTCGAGATCCATTCTCCTGCAGAGTTTAGCTCCAACCCTGACCAGTCACACCTGAACAAGCTAATCAAGGTCTTCAGGATTACTAGAGAGTTACAGGCAGGTGAGTGAGTTGAGAACCCCTGAAATAGAATGTACTTTTTTTAATGGTCTCTATAAGTAATTACTTATTCAAAAATAAAAAAGTACCTATTCAGAGAATATTCAATTTCAGATGAAGCCATAGTGGTTGTCAACTGTTCAAACAGGTTTATAGTTATTATGACTAACTGTACCTCTGATCACTCTGCTAGGACACCTGAGTGAACTTGAGGAGAGTGTGAATTTGGAATAGCATACTACTCATATTTCTGCCTTATAAAGATATGGTAAAAATAGTAATTGTATGCTTTCCTGTAGCTCAAACAATAGAGCATGGCACTAGTGATGCCAAGGTCATGGCTCAAGCTCCCAGAGAAACCAAGAACTAATAAAAGGTATACCTTGAATGCAAAGCAGGTTGCTTTGGATAAAAGTGTCTGCCACATGCATAAATGTAAGAGTTGTAGACGGTTCAGAATTCAGCCACTGTTTAGCTCCAGTCTAGTTGACCAGAAGTTTGTAGTAATCATGAAGACCTAGATTAGCTGGTTTGAGTGTGTTTAATTAGGGTTATAGCAATATTCTTCAGGATCTTGGTCTTTCAGGAGCTGTATTCGACACATCTTCTAAAATCACCTTGCCATCAGTTGGTTATGGTTGGTTTAAAAGAAAAGTTAGTTCTGACAATCTCTAGATTAATTTGTTTCCTGACGCCATCTGGTTTATTATTTTGTTACTGAATGCAATGACATTCATACATTGGTATGTACGTTTTAAATGTCCAAATACTTTTTGGCACCACTGTATGAATTCTGCATCATCTTTATTCATAAAAAGTCTTCTTACTTTGTTCCAAAGCACACTACTTGTTTGTGACAGTACAGTAATGGAATATCTTCTAGTTAAATGTCTTGCTCAAAAGTAGAATTGTGCTAGTTTTGTGGATCATCCCTCAAAGAGTTTGAAAAGTTGTAACACTGACCAATTAAGTCATTTAACTTATCTCTATCATTTTTATCAAGACCTACGTTACCTAATGTGCACTTTTCACACGTGAACAGAGTTCAGTTTTTGTATGTCAGATCTTGGAAAGGCAAACCTTCGAAAGGTAGCACTTTAGCCTTTGGAACAGTGTGTATGAGGCGAGCAATGTTGCTCCTTCCTCTGAAACCGCAGACACCGAGATGCCAAAAGCCAAAGACACAGTATTATCTCAAACCTCAGTCGGTAGCAAAGGTGCGTGAAATAGTCCGAGTTCTTTCTTTCTTCCAGACTCCTGACTGATGCCTGCTGGCCTGTCTGCAGTGTGTTTCAAAACAGACCATCAAAGACTGTCTGTTGGGGATGCCAGATAATACTTTGACAATAAAAGAAGGGTATCATCTGCTTGATACATGAGAGAACAGCGTTTATTTACTCAACAGACCAATCCTTTCTCACCTCAGCAAGGTTCAACATTCACTTCCTCTAAATGCTGTTATTTTCAGAATCTGTTTTAGCTGTACACATAAGACATATCTTCAGTTTCCTGCTTAATTAATATTTAGTGAATCTAAAAGTTTTGAAGCAAAATCAAGAACAACCTGTTTTCAGCTGCTCTTTTTTTGGAGGCATGTGACACAAAGATGCCCCTTTCTAAGAAATTGCCGATAGGCTATATTTCATATTTTAAGCATTTAATTTGATAGTTTTACATGTGCCATAGGTGAATTCAGTTTAACTTTAATATTCAGTATTTCTTGTGTACGTTTCTCCACATTTTTAATTCAGACATTAGTTCATTAGTCTAATAAAATAACAACATATCATGACTTAAAAGGATAGACAGTGAAAGTATGTAATTGTATTAACACAAAAAGATATACTGTATATTTTTTCAAAATATATTCTTTTACATGTTTGAAATATGAGGTTGTGTAAATGACAGAATTTTTTAACATTTTGTATCCAAAGCTGTGCGAGCACAATAAAAAATACAAATCACGCAAGACAAGTGGTTTTTGAAGCTCAAGTTTTTATTCTAGTTAACCTCATGTCTAAGATGGGTCAGCAAGATTGTGCATTTCAGACCAGTGACCGGTTTGTGAACAATAAAAAACAAAAATCAAACCATGACATCCTTGATCCTTGGGAATGAATACCATATTTAACTAAAAGACACTACAGGTTTGTTTACAACAGAATTGAGACACAAGGCCAAGCTTTTATCATGTGGGGATGGGAGGATGCAGTCAATCACTTCTCAATACCCCCTAAACACATTCAAGAGAAAAGCTTAGGACCTCCGTAGTCTCTTTCCCTCGATTGCATGACAGTCTCCTGGTGTGAATCGCACCGGTATACATGCTAGTTTTCATCATTCAGTTGAATTTTCATTTCCACCTTGAGGTAAAATAGATTCCTGATACTACAGAGGATAACATATCTGTGTCCCCTGGGTCCTGAATCACCTCTTCCATCATTCCTAGCTTATCGTCGCATCTCTTTCAGCAAATCATTTCTAGACTCAATGCAAACATATAGCAGCACCATGTCAAAGGCTAAAGGGAGTGAAACTAACCAACCAATCAACAAACAACCAAGTAAAGAATCCCATGAGTACTGAATATATGGAACTTTACAAGGATACAAATTTGATGGGTTTATGCAAAAAAGATGAAGGAAAACATCACTGCTGATTGTAGCTGCGTCGCATTTATTAAGACAACGACTTAATGTGGACATGCCAGGTCTCTTGTATTCAGAACACGACTAAGCAGCCACGTATACATGAATATCTGCACTGTGTTAAATTACTACAAGACAAAACAATGGCTTTGTAAGTACACATGGCAGTCACAAACTCATAACGGTGTCATTTTTCAAATACAAGCTCCATAAACTCATCAAGATGGGCTAGAAGAGGCTTAAGTGGGTATATAGTCTCCTTTAATGAAACAGCTAAAAAACTCAAAAGAGTTTATGGCACCAATTCCATTCAATGTGCTTTCTACTCGCTCGCATCAGGACCCAGTAGGATGATGATTAACATGTTCATTTGCATTTTACAACAGGACTAACAGGCACGGTATAAACCAAAAAAAAAACAATAAAATAAAATAAAATAAAACAACATAAAAATAGCACTAAAGAAAAATCCCAGACTAAATCAATGCTAAATCACGACTGTAGTTTGAGGTATTGTGGGTATAACAGGAACATTTGACTATTTTTCGTCTGCTTTTTTGTTGTTTTTTGTTTTTGTTTGTTTCTTTGTTTTGGGAATAGCATAGCGTAGAAATCACATTAACAAAAATTGATCACATAAAAAAAAAAAAAACCTACCAAAAGAACCAAAGTTATCAATAATATCATAATTTTCTATGAGAAAATTAAAACCTATTACATGGCATTGTATTGACATTTCATATAAACAAAACCAAAAATAGCAGCAAAAACAAGACAAGAGAAAGAAGCATGTCTTTTTCTTTTTTGTTGTTTTCCATTTGAAAGTTTCATACTTGCTGGAAATCCCTCCATAGCAGCTAAAAATGAGGAGTGTCTCCTCTTAATTTATTCCTCACGGTACAAAAGTCTCAGTTCTGCTTTAACTCTTTGATGTCCAGCCATCACCCTTTTTTGCCTCCCTCTACCATCTCTAACATCTCTCCTCCTCATCTTCCTCCCCTTCCAGAGATCCACAAGACAACTGACATCTCTGGGTTTGTGCAAAATCTACTTGAAGCCACAACTTTTGTTTTAACAATAGCTAGACCAGAGTACATCAACTCGGAAAAATACTTTAACTATGGTGTCACGAGTTAGCAACTAGCGGGTCATTATGCATACTTCAAACATAGGTACACTTGGGCATTCGTGCATACTGGCCTTAAGAGGGGAACTGAAAAAATAAATAGTTCTTAATCTTTGATTTAACATCGTAGTGTTTCAATAGCTCTACATGCGTTCTGTGGGATCGCACCTTAAACGTTCCCTAGCATCCATTCGTTCTCGCAGGAAGATCACAAACTACACTGTAGGCTTCAGTTTAAGCCTTCAACGAGCAAATATCTTCTCAATGTCCCCCTCTTCTTCTTTCTCTAACAGACCACTAACACCATAGATAAAGAGACCTGCTCCGTCAACCCTTCCTCCATTCCATGGTTTCCCCCCATTGTTTTAACAACTGTGGATTTCTTTCTTTTTTTGTTTTTTTTTTCTAAAAGTCAGCCTTAAACGACGGACTGAAAGTGCTTTTTTTTTCTTTTTTAAATGGAATGGTTTTAGATAATACATGAATCTAAACTAAATCAGACTGTGGACTGCACTGCAAGCTTAGCCGGGGAGCAGGTACAACATAAGCTTATTGTGTCATGGCAGCGATGACGATATACATAAATGGCAGTGAAGGCATTAACGGTTCAAAGAAATGTTTCCGTCTGGCCTCAAGTTAAAACATCAGTCCCTGGCAATCCACAGCCTTCTAGATCATAACAAAAATACATGCGTAAAAAATATACTAAAGATACATAAACCATTTTGGAAGAGAAGAGAATCTTGTTAGGGAATCTGTCTAGGAATTATAATAAAGTGACTAAAGGCATGGCAAGCGGGGATATATTTACACGGCTAGACTGCAGAAAAAGCAGGGAGCACTCGTAGCAAGTGTAACAAGGTACTATCTATGAGAGAAAGAAATCGAACATACAAAAAACGTCTCTTCTCTTCTCTTTCAAAAATAGTTTTTGACACACTTGAAATAAAAAATCCCAACGTTGTTTTTTTTTAGCGACAAGTCAGGGCAAGTCACAACTACTGTTGTCGTTTATACAATTTTAAAATCCTAGATAGCCTATACCATTTTTGCTTGTTTTATTTTTGACTTAGGACATAGAGGGGGGCCGAAGGGCAGAATTGAGATTTCCATTCATTCCTTGTCCTCCACTGGTGGTCCTGGCCAGCGATAGCCCAATCGTCAAAACCACAGGGGATGCCGCTCAGCAGTCAACAGTTTGGGCGCGCTGAGGGGCAAGTTGTCGAGGTATTGGTCGGATGGTGGGGTGCAGGTGGGAGCCCATTTTCCATTTGTCCCATGAAGCTTTTGGCCAAAGCCCATACCCAATAGAAACAAAGACGAAGAGATTCATCGCACACAAGATGAATAGCGATCCGTTCAGATATTAATGTCTCTGACGTCTGTGGGAGTGCAAGAGAGGTCCACGTCCTCCTCCACTCTTTTGGTCTCTGTGGAGATGTTGTGCTGCTGAGCTTGTCTGAGACTAGATTCCAGCAGGGACTCGATCTGTTCCTGACACGATCGCAGACAGTCCTTTTGAAGGGAAATAGGGAGATTAGCAACAATGACAGAGGGAAGCGATGTATTGGGTCTTCTGGAATAATATATGGAAGGTGGAACACTTACAGGGTCGCTTCTGATGACTTGTGAGAGGAAGTTGGTGAGGTTCTGGGATGAGAGGCAACTGTCACTGCTTTTCAGGTACAACCCCTGCACTGCTGCAGCAACGCTGCCGGCCGCGATCATGGATGGAGGGCTTGCGATGAAGTTAACATCTGAAAATAACAAACGGACCCTGGTTAGAACTCAGGAAATTCTCAGGAAACCCACCAAAAATGTAACTGGCCCACAGAATAAGAGTCATTATGAGGAATAAAACGGGCAATATTGGATAAGAAGCTAGGGTTTGGATTGAGCTCATAATGAAGCATTGCGTGACTAAACTATAATGAGACCAGGGTTGGTAGGGGACTGTCCGTGACATTTGGGGCCCGACACCATTCTGCGGCAGGGCTCAAAGCCTTTGGGGGGAGGCAGAGGACTTTGCTGTAGGTCCTGGGCCAGCTACCCCCTACTGCAGCCCTCTCATTCCCAAAACGTCCCATAAATCATGCCTCTATGTGCACGTTAATGCTAAAAGTGCATAGAAATCTTAGGGGTTTCAAGATATTACCATCTCCGGAATACACAGGCCCACGACTTCCTCAAAATGGTTTCAGGGTGTTCGAACCCTAAACGGCCCTTCACATGGACAATAAGGGAGCTAATAAATCAATGCGGCCTCTTTCCCTTATATTCTCACTTTGCGCTTTGCCCACACATGGTGAACAGAGAAATACAACTGCCTTTCTTATAGGAAGTCATCTAGCATTGCTAGCTCAGAGACGAGAGGGCAATTGTCAAGACAAATTGAGCATAAAAGCACGGGAGCCTTCACCCCAGCCCATTCATTTCATTCACCTGCACCCACCCCCTTCCCAGTATCTGTCCAACCACACTCTCCCTGGCTGAGATCCCAGGCTACGTCCCAAAGAAATGCTGGTCATAAACATAAAAGGGGAGCGAGCTGCGGTGATACCCACCATGTAAATGGAGGGACAAAAAGAGTGGGGAATATACCGGAGTAGTTCCTTCCTGAGGCATTACCAGCTTATTCTGGCAGGTGATAAAATGACTGCTGTAGGTTGCACGACAATGAGGTGTGTGGGCAAAAATACGTGGATTTGCAGCCTAACATCTGAGCACATGCTCTAACTCATAGAAACCTGGACATCAAGACGTCTAGACATGGGAAAATAGCAGGTTACAAAGCCCTTTTCACAAGAAAAATGTCAGACAACAGCTTCCTCTTTTTGGTTCACATGCACTGCGTGCATAGCAGTTGTGTTGTGAAGCAGGCAGGGATTCTCAGGAGCCATGGTGCAGTAACAGCAATCACCACAAAAGGAAACAGACTTCCTCTCTCTTGCAGAGGCTCACACTGGTTTACAATAACTGCGAGTGAGGAATTAGGACAAGCAAGATGGCTCTTTCCATTGCAATAAAGAGTCTGCCTGATAACAAAGTACTGAGTGAGGTAAGGGTATGGTCGTTCGATGCGTGTTTATAATAAAGTGATCAAAACTTTTGCTTGGCCAGCTATTATTTTTATAAGGCAAATTGTCTTCCATATATGTGACCCTGGACCACAAAACCAGTCTTAAGTCGCTGGGGTATATTTGTAGCAATAGCCAAAAATACATTGTATGGGTCAAAATGATTGATTTTTCTTTTATGCCAAAAATCATTAGGACATTAAGTAAAGATCATGTTCCATAAAGATATTTTGTAAATTTCCTACTGTAAACATATCAAAACTTAATTTTTGATTAGTAATATACATTGCTACGGGCTTCATTTGGACAACTGTAAAGGCGATTTTCTCTTTTTTTGATTCATTTTTTTGCACCCTCAGATTCCAGATTTTCAAATAGTTGTATCTCTGCCAAATATTGTCCGATCCTAACAAACCATACATCAATGGAAAGCTTATTTATTCAGCTTTGAGATGGCGTATAACTCTCAATTTAAAAAAAATGGACCCTTATGACTGGTTTTGTGGTCCAGGGTCACATATTGCATGAACAAAAATGATCAAAGTAAAACTGAACACAAACAGTAAAACATACCTGTTGCACAGAGGGCCACAAACGTCTGGGCGTGCTTGCGCAGTATCTGCTTGGAGCTCTGGTGTATAGGCAGTTTGGCGAGGAAGTGTTCAATGAAATCATGTGGTGTGACTGAGGCAAGATCCCACTTCAGTTTATTTAGTGCCAGCAGTTCCATTTGCTGCGAAGGAGGCATAAAAAGGCCCAAGTTTACATAAAGGCGCATTTTCCATATACGATTTTACACTCTTTGACCGCTAGATGGAGATGTCGATTAATTGCACAGCCAAGCAAGGCCTACGTTCAATTAATGGACACATAAAAAGTACTAAAACGTTTGTAACATGCGCGTTTATATTTATGTCTGATGGGTGGCTTTACACTTGCAGACCAATCCAATTATCTGGTTAAGACTTTTAATCCAAGACTTTAATGTACACATAGAGCATGACTGCAATTCTTGCACTTGCATTTTATTTGACTTAAGTGAAGTAATATAAGAAAACAATATCAAGCTGTATAATTGTGCAGTGTTGAATAATTACCAATAATTCGCTGGGACGGACGGAGTTGTCCGTGTATATGCACAACTTCTCTGCTGTTAGTGGCACAGTCTCTTTCATCTTAGAGGCCAAAAACATACAAGTTGCACCTAACAGCTGTAACCTGGTCTTTTTGGTGGGCTCCACAGATAAAAATCGGTCCAGGTAGTTCATAGCCAACGGAAAAACTTCCTCTTCGCATTTCTGTTCTTCACAGACCTTTAAAGAAAAGAAAGTACATATCAGATCAAATAAATATCTCGTAGAATTAGCTGATTTTTCACTAAATATGTGGTAAGAATCGAAATAAACTAATATTTTGGTGAACGTGAATTAAATAAACGAAGTGAAAATATTTTTTTTGCTATGCTTTGATCTTATGGAGTTAACCCACGTGTTTAGCATCTACTGAGTCGTGCACTTGCACTGGAAAGGGTTAAATTAGAAAAGCGACTTGTGCGAATGCTAAAAAGAGTGCTTAATCAGTTAGTTAACACAAATCTGAAGTGTTCGACAAAGTATAAATATTGCAATTTGCTGATGATGCTAGCGGTCGTTGCTTTCCGAGGCAAAAAGGTGGCGTCCAAGCTAGGTTCAGGAAACAATTTTCTAGTTCGTCATCTTTTCAAAAAATATTAAAAAATATACGAAAATTGTTTCGCTCGACTTAAAACACATGTAAATGTTGGGTAACGCATGCTTTATTGAATAAAAGCGAAATCTTTCGAATTCAGTGACAAAAACGATGTGAAATGAATTAAATTCTAAAGCCCCTACATACAAAGAGCAGGATGCGACATTTAGGAGAAGCGGGTGTTTCAAAAATTAATATAAATTATTCCAAAGCATTAAATCTAATGTTATACATCTGTAAATCCAAATCATTCGATGGGGAATATAATCCGACCGTTTATAATACGATGGTGAATTTAGCAATATAAAAAATATTATATTTTTAGACCGTCGTGCAGGAGGTATAGCCTATGGCAAACTGAAACAAAACTTTTAAGATACAAATATTACGTTTTCTTGCAAAAATAAGGTTTAATGTATACCTGCGATTTAAAGAACAACTGGTAAGCGACTTTACGCAAGTGATGTCAATAATGTTTCCATTTTAGAATTTAGAAATATAAAAAACTTAAGCAAACGACAACAAAGATGGCGTATAATGGGCTACTGGCACGAGTGAGAATGCATACGTGTACATTGGTATTAAATTGAAATAAAATCTAAATTAATTTATATTTTCTTTAGATTAATAAGTAACGAAACATATGATTGGGGGGGAATAAGCGATTTTAAATAAAAACGCGATAGCGGAAACCACGGAAAACGTCCCAGGTCTAGGATTAATATTACTTTCGTAATAAAACATTTTTTTTTACGTAAAAAAATCACCAATAATAATCGGGCAGCATATTTCCGTGTGATAGAACAATGCTGAAGAACTCAAGTTACAGTTATACGTATTTATATGTAGTAAACAGTTCTTGGGGTCCAAAGAGCAAGAGCAGAATCATCATGAGGCAAACTTGTGTAGCTAATACAAAAAGACAACTATTATCCAAAACAAACCTCGAGCATCCATGTGGCGACGATTTTCCTCATTTTAGGTGCGATTTCTTTCTGAACACACTTGAAATAATTTGGTGATGGAAGATAGTTTTCCTCTGCTTTGAGCATTGTCTGTAAAACTCGGTCATTCAACAGGTTGCTATCTTGGTAAGCTCTTCTAATGGTATCCACTTCACAGCAAAACAACTGGTGTTCCATGTCTTCAGTGGTGCCCGAGGTTAAGCGGTGACAAAAAAATAAGAAAACTAGATCTCGTGTCGGACACTGGTCCCGTGGATGCTTTGCTGCCTCTGCGGAACCCTCTAAAACTCTCGCTGCAGCTCCGCTTGACAAAACTCCCCTATGACGTGACTGTTGTTAAGGGAAGATCAAAGCAGCAGCGAGCCTGTGAGAGAGCGCGAGGCTGTCTGCTCAGGGCGGAGGATCAATCTTAAAGAACTATCTTCTCTCGAGCTTGGGCTCCTTCCTTTAGCAGTATGGAAATAGGAGGTCCTATGCCGGCTGACGAGTGACCAAGGAGAATCGGTGGGGGGTAGGCTAGGGTGGGGGCAAGGGGGCAGGCTGCTAGTGTTGTGGGTGTCGGGGGTGGAAAGACGGGGTAAAAGGGTCTGAATATGTGTATTGGTTAAGTATTGGCAGGGGGCGGTATAATAGCCCAAATCAAGGTGCCCACTGTCGCACCGAGAAACTCAGCTGCCTTCTCAGTGTAACTACAGCGCTCAGATCTCAATTGTTCGTGTCAAATTCCAAGTCTACGTTAACAGTCGCCTTTTTAGATTGTTTAAACTCTTTGTGACTGTACTGTGGCACAATCACTTTATGACATTTTTATATTAAGAGTCATTTATGCATACACTTGAATGTGGTTTCCGTATATATGAGACAATTGTGTGGTCTGGGGTGGAAAAAAAGTAAACTCTTTTGGGTTACCCTAAACTGATAATTTATATAACTGATAAACTGAAATAAAAAGTAGACTAAAAGTATACTTTCCTATTTTTAGTTTAAAAGAAGTATAGCACACTTGAATAAAGGGTAGTAAGGGTATTCGTAAGGGTAGCTTTCATCTGAAAACTTCTCTGGCAGATGTATAATGTAGAAAATATTTTTTTAAAACTTTAAGACATCTCACGAGAGTCATTCCACTTTTCATCCTTACTTAATAACTTCCTGACGTTTCAATAAAATGTTTATAAGGAATGCAGTTTATATCAGTAGGCTATTACATATTTCAGAAAACAAAGAAAATGTCATTAGACCTTTTAGAACCGTAAATAAACAGTGTTCCCCCTTTTAAAGAGTACTGGCTTGTCTATGGAGTTTAAGCAGACCATCTGCACATGGCGTTAACAACACAAATTGTTTGATAGAGTTTGATCAAATAGGGGCGCTCTCACTTTAAAGACCTCACTGCCTTGCTGTAGCTTCAGGATGAATTGAAGCTTTACAAATTCCACACATTCCACGTTCAATACCGTAAAACAAGTACTTTGGTTGTGCCAAAAACGTTAGAGTTGAGAGAGAAGCTAGCAACAATAAAGGAACAAGTTCTTCATATTACACAGTTTTTAAAAATGTAATTATATATTTTTTTAATATACAGAGATATCAACAACACACTTACATTACTATATCAAATATTTTTTACAAGTAAACATTTGTTAACTTTGTGCTCTTTGAGATCAAATGTTACTTAGACCTTTATTACTATATTATATTTTTTATAATTAAGACTATTTTAAGCGTCCATGTCCAGAACATGCATCAGAGTGGAAAAATAAACTTAATACATTGAATGTTTATACGTTTTTAAAACATTGAACTTTTCCATTATAATACATTGAACAAAGTGAATACTCTTTCAGGGAAAAAAAAACAAAAAACTGGACGAATTTGTTACAAACGGCTATAATAATGAATAAAGAACCTGTTATTTTCTAAAAATGCCTTTATGGCTCTTTTTTCCTTACAAGACTTTGAGATCAACATATCCATAATAATTGTCAGAAGTTGTTTCAGGAAAGTTTCAAACCTAACCTGTTGTAATTAGACAGTAAATAATAGCTTTAATTACATTAGTAGCCTAAATAATTACATTAAATAATGAAAGCTTTATTGGGCTACAAAAGTGTTCCGAACAATGAAGGACCGACCATGTGAGTTTTTCTTGTACTTCTATTACCGTAAATACGGCAAAACGAGTAGGAAGTTGTAGTGCTGCGGTCCAATCGGAAATTGCTCTTTTCTGTCCTAGCGGTTGTGGCTAGAAGGGATACAGCTCCGACCGTAAACGAACAATGAAATTAATTTTACTACCTATTAGATTGTGTTTTATTAACGTCTACACCTACACCTACCCCAACCCTAAACCTACCTCTTACAATAATGAAAAAATAGTAATTATTGTTGTACAGTGTGACAAAGATGACGCTGTATTGATGTGCGCATGTCCAGTAGCCGCAGCTGTATCTCTTCTAGCCTTAACCTGTCTTAGCTCCAGACAGTGCATGCACGTTTCAAGTTCGATTTCACTCTTAAAGACACGTTTATAGTAACACGTTTCTGAATTGATAAAATGTTTATTGTGGACTACTGGTGCAGTTTTAAAGGTATAGTAAGTGACTGAAACCGTCACATTATATATTTAGCAACCTGGCAGCATTAACACTCAACATGTTTTCTTCTACCTCAGACAACAAGTGCCGTCGGTTCGGAGGAAGTTATTATTAACTTTGTCTGATTATAGAGTATGCTAGTGAGCTTCTAACGTAGCTTAGGACCCTTTAACCAACTAAGTGGCCAACTTGTTAAATTCCAGCAATGAACTGCCTGCTATACTGCATTTTTGAATTTTACCAGGTTTCCTGCAGTCATGGAAAACCTGGAAATATTAGGGAATTAAGTTGGTGTCTTTCAGGCTTTAATAAATAAATACATATATAAATAACAATATAATCTTAAAAAGTCAGTTTAATATAGTCTATATACTGTAGGCTATACAAATGGCTGCAATATAACAAAGAGTGAAAAATTGAAGGGGGTCTGAATACTTTCCGTACCCACTGTACTATACTGTATGTTTAAATTGAATCATGAATGACTGGAAAACTAATGCATAGTCATTTGTGTTTTAATCAATGGAAATAATTTCCCCCCTTATAGATTGTTAAATATATTCACACACACACACACACACACACACACACAG